TAATACCGGCGATAGATATCCTTATTCTGGGCCCTTTCAACAATTTATATCGGAGGTCGACACCATTCCAGAAGGATACGAAGTAACGCTTAATTTGAACATTATCTCCTCCGTGTAATCTGAAATTAATATTATTACTAATAAGGTACAGTAGGGGAATCTGGTTGTGTTCTATCGTTAAGCTACCATCGTTTGAACACTTTTAAATGAGATGCAGACCAAAAATCATTACAAAGCAGCTTTTAAATATTTCTGTACGGAAAAAGTCCGTTATACAAGACTTGTTTCTTTTCATTATTATTTTGCACTCACTGATATCTTATTAGTTATGTATTTGATTGAATGCGTAGTTTGTCTCTTTGCAATGAACATTGCGGTTTTTCCTGAAGAGGAATACCACGAACTTCTTTGGTAGAACATATAGAAGTAGCAGAAATTTCAATCTCGTACTTGGAATAACAATTTTTTTACTAATACTAATGGCTATTGTTGTGCCTAAGGTCATAAGAATCTTGATATCGCAGAGCTAACTGTTCATGGAAAGGATAAGCTAATATTATTTCATACTAATGTTATAAATGCGAAAGTTTAGATGTATGGATGTTTGTTAGAGTTTCTAGACTAAACGGTTGAATGGATTTCGATGAAATTTGGTATAGATGTAGATAGTTTGGAAGAACACATAGGCTATTCAGTTGTTTCAATTCCACGCGAACGATATCGCGTGCGGAAGCTAGTTTGAATACAAAACTAATGTATGCCATACCTATATCCATCATAATCGACAATAACCAAGATCTCCGGGTAGATGACGTAAGGAGCTTCCCGTTTCTGCCTGCTGTGAGATTCTGTAGACCGTTTCCGCCTGTACCTCTTACCAATGTGGTCCGGCTCCATAAATGCTGGAAGAAAAGAGAACATTATTTTTTTTTAATAAGGACCCGTCCAAGTATAATGTATGGGCATAGAACTGTAATTGACAGGCTACTAGCCGTGGCGTTCTGTGCATATTTGATTTTTGTTATTTTGGCGCTGAAGGTTTGGTGGTGAAGAATCAAACTAATAGTATACGTATAATAAACTGACCCTAACATCAACAGGCGAGATTAAGTCGGAATGAAGCAAATATGTCTCCGTGTTAGGAAACACGGAAATCCTAGAAAGAGATGGATGTATTGCGTAAACGGAGACATGATCAAAAAGGGAGTGATGACTGAGATGACGGATGATAGAGTTATTTGGAGGACGAAAACCCGGTGCGCCGACACTACGGGAGTAGGATAAGGCAGGGGAGATGATGATGCTAGAAAACACGAAAGTTTTGCTACTTTAAACTATTATATTTATTAGTATTTTGTGACGCAAAGAAATAATATAATTCATGTTATAATCGATTTTCATTTGAAATGAGAAATATTTAATTAAAGTTGTTATAAAACTTGATAATAGCGAGCATCAGGATTATAGAATATGACGCATGGCGCTACAATTATTACATTTTGGTCACGCATTTTAGCTGTAATGTGGTTCCTTTTTTAAATCGATTACCTCCTTATAAAGAGGCTGGAAGTTTTAAAAACTAATTTTTCGTTTTTTTTTGCTAATCGAACTCGGTCATAACCTAGATTTTTGCTTTTTACATCCAACATAAGTTTGCTCCTTATTTATTTTAATATTAACAGAACTTAAAAGTATGTAAATGTCAAATAATATATTCTTATATTAAAATAATAACTTTCATAAATTACCGAAGCTTCAATTCTCGTGACTTTCGACAAAAAAAAAAGATATTCTTCTCATTTACAGATTAATAAGAAGCGTCGAATCTACAAATTTATAATACAAATGACGTGAGACCGGTCTACGACTTGACCTTATGACCTCCGTCCATAAAGTTTAGTTTTTAAACATTTTTATTACCGATTTTGTTTCTGGCAACACTAAAATACATCACATTACAATTTATAAGCACAATCGTGACGTTTTTAAAACATTTTTGTGCACATTAAAATATTTTCCGCAATAGGAACTGTTAACTGAAATATTTAAATTATTTCCATTATGGATTTCTAATAAATACAGCTATTCACTTTAAAAGCGACTTTTATTTGAAAATAATCAATACTGGCCATTATTATTTGGAAATGTGGACTAATTTTATACAAAAATAGGTTAATTATTTATGCTTATATCAATTGTATATTAATTTGGTATAATAGTCGTATCACTCTTTAATATTGCACGATTTTCAGAAAAATAGCAAAATAAATATTTACCATCTTTGATCTACATAAAAAGATGACTTAAATGCCTGCCTCTATTTAAGCTATTTAACAGTTTTTTCCTTAAATCCCGATAAAACAGCTTCAACAGTACTATTGTAAATGTTCCTCCGTATAGATAGACAAGCTGTTGCTTGCAAACTTCGTTAGCGCGAAATTAAAAAAAATATCGTCTATTAAATAACCGCGTAACCTTCTAGCAACTACCAAAATCCCGTAAATAGGGCCCAGCCGTTTCGGAGATTACTCGGAACAAACGCGGCTTGCGAACAAACAGACGAATTTTTAAATGCGATTTTCGTTACCAGCAACGCAAATACTTCTTGAAATCTGCAATTTTTATGATGAAGTTACATACAGACAGTTCAATTTCCATTTACAATTTACATGTATAGACTAGACCATAAATATAGATAAATATTATAGAATATCCGGCTACAATAGTGCTTGAATGGTTTAAACGATAAAACATTACGTAGTCTGATAACAAAACAAAAGGTGTTGAACTTGAATGTTTCCGTTTATTTAGTCTGTAGAAATAGACTGGGCGTATTTGCATTAATATAATTAGGTCCGGTAACATAATCCGGCTACGAATCATAACTGGTAACTACACTTTGACAGATAATAATCGAGTTCCGGCGGCCATTTTGCATAAATTGATTAGTGAGAGTTCCTGCCAATTTTAGTACATAGATTATATTAGTTTATTAATAACCTACAAATGTCATAATATATTTGTTGATTACTTTATAGGAAAACTAGTATTATGTACAAGACATATCTATTGCATTTTGGCAATCAAACACCCTTATAAGCAGAATTCAAGGAGAATAAGATGTCAGTTTTTGTAAATCAATGTGAACCAACAGTTACATAGAAATGGTGCCTCTTAAATTGCTAAATCACGTAATATGTGGATATTCTCGCGAAAACCGGTATTATTAACATAATCGATGTCTCGACTGCCGTGCAATATTATGATAGAAACAGCTGCACGTGTTTACAGCCATAGTCATATTTTAACGATTAAATTGATATGTTACTTTTAAATAATGCAATGCATTGATAAATATTGTGGTGGTCTATTATACTTTAAGCGTTTTCAGCACATATCTCTACTATGTTTTCCAAATGTTTTAGTATCGTTCGTCTTTTATTTCGTAACCTGTCCTACGTTAGACTACGGGCCTGTCCCATTGGCTGATAGGGGCTCAGATAGCTTAAAAATAACGTCACTGACAGATAAGGGAACAATATCTGATATTTCCATTACACATTTTACACGTTGGATTGTTATCAGACAATTTACAATTTGGTTTGACAGGACTTGGTTTGTAAAAATATACTGCCGTGGTGCGTGTTGGCAGACTTCACACATATCAACTTATTAAAACTTTCGTGAGACATTACATATCCTATATGATTTATAACACTGTTACCGTAGGAACTTCTTCTTCAGGGTGAGTGGATGCCGGTGACGGTCACTGACTGTGACCGACGCGACGCGATAGCGAATAAAGCCGGCATCCACTCACCCTGAAGGACTCCCTACGGGCTTGAAACTAATTGGTGCCTACACCGAAAGTTCCCACTTGAGTTTTAGCCTTGTTATTAATCATATAGTTCACACATATCTTTGAATTACTACACAGATATGTGTGTTATGACGTTTTCCTTCACCGTAATACAGGATGAAGTACATATGAAGATCGCAATTCGAACCTAACCATAAGCATAACCTATATGTGCCACCGACGCTCCTAGACAAGATCAGATGTTTGCCGGACTATAAGTTTCAGCAACAGATAAGCTCTTGAATTGAGTAACCATAAATGTAATTAATTTGATTGACTGGTAATATTAGATATATCTTCTGTCAACACTTACAGAAGAGATCGTGATGATGGGTTTTAAATTCGTAATCGGATCAATATAGAAACATTAAATACAATCGAGATAAAAAGATTATATCTATTGGTATTCAGTTCAGTCTATTGTGTTTGAAAATAATAAAGATTAGTCTAATTTTCGAACGTGTTTGTTTTTATATCACGTCACGTTGAAAATAAACATGCGTAAAATAACCGAAATATTTAAAAGTATTTATCTGCTGTAATATAAATAGGGAAAATTTGTATTTTTGTATGTATACTATTCGCGTCAAAATCACTGGGCCTATTTCTAAACTTCTTTTACCGTTAAAAGCTACCATATCAGTGAGTAACATAGGCTATACTTTTACTATTTAAACACGGACGGAGTTGCCAGTTACATCTATAAACATAATTGAAATTGAATAAACTTATTCAATTTTGGAAATTAGTGTTTTGAATTAATTTTAGTTAAACTTTAAACAAATCATTTGTTTGTTTATTGACAAACGTTGTTTTTTTTTTAAATAATAACAAGATAATAATTTTCATACAACATAAGGTGCATAAAACATATCAAAAAATTTAAATTATTGTTAACAATAAAGTTCAAAACACATTTACTATAAATTTGTATAATTGGCTGTTATTTATGTAAAAACTAGCTTCCTCCCGCGACACCGTTCGCGTGGAATTAGAAAACAAAAGTAAGTACTCTTGTGTTCTTCCAGACTATCCTCTACAACTATGCCTTTCATTGAAATTCGTTCAGCCGTTTAGGCTACAAACTCTAACAAACATCCATCCATCTAAACTTTCACATTTATAATATTAGATTAGATAATATGAATGAAATATTTCTATTCGTAAAATAATAGAAAAATTGTTCTACCAAGATAAGGTAAATGCACCAATAATTGACCCCTTTTATTTTGCCACAATTGGCATGATAAAAGTTTTTATGTCATAAAATAATTCGAAAAGTATTAACATCGGGTCGCTTTACCAAAAAAGATGATATTTCAACCGGCCAGTGTTAACACATCTATGAGATATATATCAAAATGTCAGACGGCAATCTTCCGCCAAAGTCGCAGGTGTCCAATCAAACTGGTTTTTCGCATCAGAGATTAATCAATCGATCTTTATTACGTTTGCTAATTAGACGATATCTGGCGAATTTAATGGCGTTACTTGGTCAGCTGTTTTCTAGTAGTTTTCCTACTATTTAACTGTTTCTAATACTGTTATATATAGTTAGGGATAATGAATTAGTAATTCATCTATTTTTCATTTAATATCCTTTAATATACACTAACAATTAGATATTACAATTATAAAGAGGTAAGACTTTTAATTATGGATATTTGTATGTATTGAAATAACTCAAAAACTACTGGGCCAATTACAATTTTTCACCATTAAAAAGTTACTCGATATCATTCATAGATGGCGCTGATAAAATCCACTTTTTCAACGACCGTGCTCATAAAACTTACGTAATATAGTTCAAATATTTACTACATGTTATATCTCAAACATAAATAAGACTTAGTAAGTACAAGATACAAGTCATTAGTTCAAATCGTGATCGAGAATATTTTTTTTAAATAAGTCATTCGTTGTACATTTGATATGTGATAGTTTGTTTTAAATCCAGTTTATAATAACATGTATTTTGTTTTAAATATTATTGTTATTCAGAAACATGATATGTCTACTTTACAATGAGAAAGACGATTGATTTCGTGGTTTACTAGACAGACTAATAATAAAAAAAAAACACTTATAACATCTGCCATTGTCAGAAATTTTCTAAACGTTATATCTACCTCTATCTTTAGTCAACATTAAATCATGTATAAATTAGTAACTCTTCATTAAATTGTCAAATATTCTTAAGTTATTTACCAAAATCACTTAGATGGTCCCCTTGGGCAGGATCTCTTTTGATAATGACGTGATGAGCGCCTTGGAGAGCTTGCCTTAAACTATCCTGGTCTATTTTCTTCCTTTTCACTGGAAAAAGAACGTTTAGGTTACATATTTTTAAAACAGTTGTATCTCACGGCATATAGATGGCGCTGAAGAAAGTTTACTTGTATTTTCCGCAAAAGAAATATTTGCTTCAATGTTGTTTGTCAGGCTTTTACGTTTTGTTCAATATTTGCGATTATTATACAATCTAGCCAATATTAATATTAAATTATACGATATGGTAATTTAATCTCATTTCACCTATTTCCATAGAAACAAGAAAAAGGAATTTCGTATAATATTCAAATAAAATGCCTGACCACATGCTGCTAAAAGTCATAGATATTTCTTTGATTCGCTTATTAAATATACATTTATGAAATTATATAATATCTATAGGTTTGAATAAATTAATTCATTTTAGAATAATTAAGCAGTAGTCAAATTCCTTTTGTAGTATAAACATATTTTTTTGTTATTGGGATTGTGTATTCGAATTTTAAATACAAAACAAAACACAATTTACAAAAATACAAACAGACATCCCCGCAACACGATATCATTGGTTTGTGTACGGGAGCGGTGTAACTATGTGGAGTGTAGTGTAGTATAGTCTATCTATACCTATACTATAATAATAAAGCGTAAACACACACTTCTTTGTTGCCTAAGATGTCAGCTATTACAGTAAATTTTTGAATAATTCTTTATTTAATGAAAACCCCTACACTTACGTCACGCTTTGGGCTATATATGTAAATATTTTGGATGAAAACCTTAATGTGGGAAAGAGACCATAAGTTGCTGCCAACATCAAGGAAGCAAGATTGTCAAGGTTTGCAATGTCATGCCATTTTGTCATTTGCTATTGATAATTTAACAAATGTAAACAATAAAATAAAACTTTCAAAATACCATGCGGACGAAGCCGCACGGGAACAGCTAGTTGTGTAATAAAAGTTGATGCAAACGCAGTTTCCAATAATAACCACGCTACTTAACTTACCTATTGGAAGTCCCGTATCTATAGACACCATATCAGCCATGCTGGCTGGATCTAGGAACATTTCATCGTCTTGCGCCGTCGTCATTGAATCTGGTATAGGTCTGATCACTAGCTCGTGACCTATCGAGCCTTCCTGTGGACAATCATACAAATATTATAAATGCGAAAGTTTAAATGGATGGATGTTTGTTAGAGCATGTAGCCTTAACAAGTAAATGGATTTCTATGAAATTTGGTATAGATTTAGAGGATAGTCTGGAAGAACATATAGGCTACTTTTTTTTTAATCCACGCGGATGTAGTTGCAGGCGAAAGCTAGTAAACATTATAAAATAACTCATTAGATAAAAATAGTTACATCTCGTATGGTATATCTATAGAACACTGTAGCTCCTAGTATAATAACCATTAATCATCAACATAATTTAGCACGGACTGCGGTTTAAATACGCTTTATAAATAACTTCTCAAAGAAAAGTATGCTTGTACTACAAGCGCCATCTTTTATCCAAAATACTTCATTAAAATTTAGCACGCAAACATCAAGAACTTCCAGACAAGTCAGTACAATAACCATAATCCATTTTAAGTCATCGACTTTATTTATATAGACTAGTATTAAATAAGCTACATTTCTAGGTCAGTGAGCCAAGCCAATAATCATACCAGTTCCCCCACGCATTACACGCTTCTGTTTTAGACCACACCCGTAGTACGCCTCCGGTAAAAAAGGACTACAAATGTTTTTATTACGATCAATTAAGGAAAAATCAAACGATTTGTTATCTATACTATTCAATACTAATGTTATGAAGAGGAAGATAGACTTGTATTTTTGTATGTTTTGAAATAACTCAAAAACTTCTTGCCAATTTCAAAAATTCTTTCACCTTTAGAAAGGTAAAATCTGTGAGTAACAGGCTACATATTTTACGACGAAGTCGCGAGCACCATCTGGTATATCTTACTAATATTATAAATGCGAAAGTTTAGATGGATGGATCGATATTTATTAGAGTTTATAGCCTAAACTGCTAAACGGATCTCGATGAAATTTGGCATAGATGTAGAGCATAGTCTGGCTACACATGGGCTACTTACTTTTACTTTTTGACGCATTTTACGAGTAATAGAGTATTATGTATTTGTCGGTTACAAAAAAGACTTACCACTATTATCTTTCCGTTCTTTGGATGTCTTCTAATAAGCAACGCAGCACCATTTTCATCATCATGATACAGATCACCAATATCCTCTTCATTATCCTGTAAAATATTGTTAAATTAAATAACTATTATAATTATTACGAATAACAGTCTTTTCTTAATCCGTTTTGAAAGACTCCTTCAAGTATTATGTCGTTCAAAATAAGAAATTTTATAAACGGAACGCAGCATGCATCTCTATCTCTTTCTTACTTCCTAGAAGGTATATTGGTCTCTTTCTTGTAACGAAATGCTCAAACGTGACGCAAGACATTAAGCTATGAAGTCTCTTTTAATTAAACTGTTATTTAAAACATGTGTTTTGTTAAAATAATTTAAATATTTAAAGACTAATGTTGAATGAAAATAAAATCTGCGTAATTAATTAAGGAAGCTGTACAAAAATCCCAGATTAAATAAACATGTGGAATGAATAATGAATAACCTGTCAGATACCAAAACACGTTGCTAATAGACATGTAATTATTCCACCCCTATAACAAAGACATTGTATTAAAACATTTAATTTAAAGCGAATTGCATAATTGAAATTCTCCTCATATTGCAACACTAATTAAAATGGTAGACGGTGTGCTCTGGGAATTTTGATTGGGCCACTTTTTCTATACATTGATGACTCGACCATGTTAATCCTTTGACTATAGAAAAACGGACTTGGCACAGAGTCGTACTAAGTACTTACCAATATTATAAATGCGAAAGTTTAGAATTATAGATAGATGTTTGTTAGAGTTTATAGCCTAAACGACTGAACGGATCTGGATGAAAATTGGCAGAGATGTAGAGGATAGTGTGGAAGAACACATAGGCTATTCACTTTTGTTTTTTTAAATTCCACGCGGACGGAGTCGCGGGTCAAAGCTAGTATTCACATAAAATTATACGTCTTTATGAACCCATAAACTGTTCTAAAATTTACACAATACCAATATTCAAGCAAGTTTAGTAATGATTATTCGTTTTCACAGAGGCGAATTTACCAGATCCTGTCTCTTCAAAATCAAAGCTCGAAGATGTCAGTTTAAACAATCAACGGAAGCGAGTGGAATGAGGCGGTATTGTTTTGTTTTTATCGAATTGCTAATTGCCTTAAAAATACACTTACGCTTTTTATATAAGAGATATTGACAGTGATTACGAATGAATTATTCTGGGAATCAATCCTATAATCTTTAACAGTGGTAGAGCCCGCTTTAACATCTTCGCACGAAGGGGCCGGCTCGTCCGGTATAATAACCATACAGAAAACAGGCGTGAAATGGAAGCAATTCCGCGTTTCGTTTGATGAGTGTGGTGCCGGAGGCTTAATTTTAGTCCCTTACCCTTTCCACCCTTTTCTTAAGAGGAAAGGATGGGAAGGAAAAGTGGATTTGACGGTGGATGAGACGCATAGGAAGGGGAAGTGTCCTTTTTATGTGCGTCTCCTCCTCCGTCAATTAAGGGTAGGCAACGCATCTGCAAATGCGGAAGTTTATGGGCAGCAGTCGCTTTCCATTTCTATAGATTCAGGTGGCCGCTTGCGCGTTTGCCACCTTATGTTATAAAAATAAAATCTGACCGTAACATAGGTCACAAAAAGTTTGGTCGTTCTGTTCTATTCTATTTCTTGTTTATGGCTCTCCCATAGCGGGTTGGGCCAGAAGTTTGGTCGTTTAAGGATTGACTTGTATTTTACCGCATTACTGTCTTATACATACGTCATAAGTTTTAGAGTCTACTCTAAATTAGACGAAAGATAAGGGCTTTGACACATGAACTAAACTATCACACAACTGTTGTGCGATTGTCGATTGTTTTACTATTCAACTGTTTAGTTGCACAAATAAAAATCAAATAGTGTGAGCAACTCTATATAAGATCATAGGAATCAAAACGAGACTAAACAGTGCGATAATTTAGTCAAGTCTGCGCGTTTTTAGACTTCAATGGCGGCGATAACTTAAAGATATCGTTTATCTGGTAACTTCTCATAGTGATGGTATCAGACACGAATGTCGTAAACTGACTAAACACGTACTTTGAGAACACTTTATGAAAATTTAAACATCAAATAAAGTAAACGATCAAATGTACGTTTTAGGAGTTTTTTCTAATTGTTTGATTAACTTTTTAACCATATGTAATCTATACTATTATAATAATGCGTAAACACACACTTCTTTGTTGCCAAAGATGTCAATTGGAGCATATTTTTGCATAATTCTTCTTTTAATAAAAAGCCCTATATTTACGTCACGCTTTAGGCTATATATTTATATATTTTTTTATAATTCAATGCGGATGAAGCCGCACGGAAACAGTTAGTGAATTAATGAAGAGTATTTTAAGTCGCTATTAAAATCCATTGATTTTGATTTAAAAATATTTAGAAATATGATTCTAGATCAAATATTGGGTTCGACTGTTATCTAACTATACTAATATTATAAAGAGGAAAGATTTGTATTTTTGTATCTATTGATTATAACTCAAAAACTACTGGGCCGATTGTTGCAAACATTAAAAAACTTTATTTATATGTATTTCGGTTCTTTTTTAGATACGCATTTTTTCTAAAATGACATTTTGACATCCTTATATTACACTTATATGTATATTACAGCCAGTATTAAATGTAGATCAAACCTTCTTATCAATCCACAACAAAAATTCAAAAATACTTTCACCATTCAAAGCTACGTTATCAATGAGTAACATAGGCTATGTTTATTGTTATTTTTAATTTCAGGCGGGCGAAGCCGCGAGCAACAGTTTGACTGTAATACACCATAGTTTATTTGTGCTACCATAGCGTACGCAACTGCAAGTATTTATGCTAACAAGTAATAAACTAAGTAAGGTTTAAATGTCAAATTCAACCACAACGACGCATTAAATAAGAGAGCAAAAGGATTGTCGGAAAAACCAAACGTGCCGTTGTCAAATATTGTTGTGTAGTTTTATATCGCACGTGACTTGGGTTTAGAGACCTTCTTTTTTTTGAAGACGGTTAAAAAGTACGCTCCTATATTCTAGTTTATATGTAGTTATGTTAAAGTATTATTTTACTAGCTTTCGCCCGCGACTCCATCCGCGGGGAATTTAAAAACTAAAGTATGAAGCCTTTTTTTCCAGACTTTCCTCTACATCTCTGCCAAATTTTATGAATAAGCAGTTTAGGCAAAAAACTCTAACATACATCCATCCATCCATCTAAACTATCGCATTTAATAATATTAGTAAGAAGTAAGATTATAGAATTTAGTAAAAAAAAACTTTGAGTACTTATAAAAAAATCATTATTATTTACATTATCTTAAAAATCAGATAGATACTAAAACAAATAGACAGGACATCAACAAATAAATACAGAATAAACATGATTCGTATAAAAGACAATACTATCAATGATCTTCAAGTCTATCTCATAATAAGCTTGGGATTTGCAAGTTATCGCTATTATTATAAATTACAAATTTATTGCCGCCTCTTCTTGCGCGTTACACGAGTTCTATGACATCATTTTTATCTACGACTAGCTGTTGCTCGCGACTTCACCCACGTGAATTTAAAAAATATAGCCTATGTTGCTCACAGATAAATTACCTTTCTAACGGTGAAAGAATTAAAATTGGCCCAGTAGTTTTTGAGTTATTTTAATACATACAAAAGTCCAAAAATACAAATCTTTCCTCTTTATAATATTAGTATAGACTACATATGTGGGGGATAAAAGGGTAACGTGACACGTTGGTCAATGATTTATGCGCCCTATGTCAGCGCCCTGGGCAGTTTCCCAACCCATGTGCCCTACTTTAACGCTAGTTCTACGAGACGGGAAGAACTGCATGACAAGAAGTAAAATATTAATAAGGATACTCCGGCAGGGTGCCATAAAGAGATGAATAATGAAAAAGGTGTCAAGACTAAGAAGAGGGTGACCTAGGTAGCGGAAGATAGATCGATCTGGGGGACGAAAACTGGTGCGTTGACTTTACGGGAGTAAATAACTAAGTAGGTAACGAATTAAATTCTTCAATTCTACATCAGCTGTGATCGTGCTTAAGCTATATTTTATTTATTAAAAAAAAACATCGCGGCGGATCGATACACGAACTTTGAATAAAAGTGACTTGTTTATTGTAATAGATGAGGCCATTTGCATTGCTAATGCGTCCGCCAACTGACGGTTAGATCGTGGAAAGCCTGCCAAATACATCCTACTTGCTTTGGGAATAATAGATCTTTCCTATTTGATTTTAACTATTCTATTTATTAGATCAGTATTGAGTTCTTTTTACATACGTATTTTGGCACAATTTGTATTCTTCCATACATCTCTATCTTTTTTTATAACATAAGATGGCAAACGAGCAAGCGGCCACCTGAATTTGCAAAATGACGAAGCGACCGCTGCCCATAGACATCCGCAATTGCAGATGCATTGCCTACCCTTATACGACGGAGGAGGAGACGCATATAAAGAGGATATTTCCCCTTCCTATGAATCTTCTCCACCGTTAAATCAACTTCCTCTCCCATCATGTCCTTATAAGAAAAGGGTGGTAAAGGAAGGGACTAAAATTAGGCCTCCGGCACCACACTCATCAGACGAAACACGGAATTGCTTCCATTTCACGCCTGTCTACCGTGTGGTAGTGGTATTGCACCGTGCGTGCCGGCCCCGCAGTGCTAAGATATTAAAGCGGGCTCTACCACTGTTACAACTGTCATATCAGAATTCTCTGCTTCTATCTCTTTCATACAGTTCTTATAGATTTGTATAGTCTTGGCTGCACTAATGGCTTTTGTTTTGTTTTAATAGTCACTTGTTTTAGTTAATAATCTCATAGTTTTTGTTACAGTGGTCAAAATTATCGTTTTAAAGTAGTATTCAATTTATCTATTCCAATATTATAAAGGTAAAAAGTGTGTTTGTTTGATTGTAATGAATCGGCTCAAAAATTACTGGGCCGATTTTAAAAATTCTTTCAACGTTAGAAAGGTAATTTATCTGTGAGTAACATTGGCTATGTTTTTACATTTCTTTATTTAAATAT